TATTATTATTATTATTATCAACGCAAAATAGAACATTGCTTCACCGAAGCATTTCAGAACCGTTGGCATAAATTAGTCTCAGCCGGTTCAGCATTTGCTTTATCACTTTCGAAGAGTTCAGCCGAGTAGTCAAAGGCGAAATAAATTGAAGGACGCTACAGAAGAGAAGCAAAGGTGCATTGAAGGCTGTCTCAAAAGTGCAGGGGCCTGGTGCGAAATACGGGTTTGTTCTGAACGAGAATGACCTTCTAGAACACATGCTGAAAATCTCGCCTTTTTGGTCATTTAAACAAGCAAACCTTGAACCGGAGAATGAGCGAAAATGTTCTCCTATTCGAGTTTGGCATTCGCTGATAGTCGCAAAACCAACCTGTCAATATGACCCTAAAAAGTGAGCTCTGGTCCACTCTAGACATCCTTCAAATTGTCATTTTGTAAACATGTGAAATAATTACTGGCTTGCCTATATGACGTCTGGTCTGGAGGATTGACAGGAGAGCATTTGGAATCGTGAATATTTCAAGGAGGGAAGACAGTTTAAATAAATAGCGATCAAAATCTGTAGCCACACATAGCTGAAATAGACAAAAACATATAAGTATCATATATATATATGTGTGTATATATATGTAGATATATACTAAACAATAAATAGAATATATTATATATATTCCATTTTTTTATTTATGTGAAAAATATACAAGAAAATGGAGTTCCGTTTACACGATCCTCACAATTCCTTTTTTCATCCTCTATCATATGAAAATATACGCTATTTAGTGAACTTATGCTACTGATTGTTTCGATTTATGATAATTGAATAATTTATCATCTAAACTAGCCAGAATTTGCTCGATGCTTCGTAAGGACATTAAGTCGTTTTGGTTGCGAGTGCTTCATTTGTTGACACACACTTATGCCTTTTTGCTCTTTTCTTCTAGCTTTTCATGCACTTCACGGTCATATGGAGGTTGGCTGCGATCGTCGGCTGGCATATTTGTGAGGCCAGGCTGAAACGGATGAACAAGCAGTAACACCAACTGATGCGGGTAGGTATCGAAAAGAAGAAAGTGAGTCTTCTAAAGTTGAGCTTGGCAATGAAGAGACCGGACAGTTGGGGTATCTATAATGGACTGGGAAATAGATTTCGTCAGGCCAGAGAAGTTGAAAAGCTCTGCCTGCCATCGGATCTTGTCTCACTTGCTCTGCTGCTTGTCTCTTGCCTCAATTCGTCGTCTAACCATTTTCGTTGCCGTGGCAATAAGCAAAACTTTCTGCTTTGTTGGACAGACGCAAATCTGATTGAAGATATGATGCAACAGTGAAGCGGAGCCTTCCACAAAGCGAACTAATGACACCGACCGGCCTATCAACTCGGCCTAGTCATAAGTTGGGCGGAACTCTTTCGGATTTTCCCAAATTTGGATGTTAGAGTCGAGACATTCAGTCGTCGAGACACTCTTCGTCGGTACCGGTGGCAAACTAAGCCCAATTTGCCCCTGACCCTGGAGACAAGCATCCTCAGGGCAGCTGGACGCGGTTGTTGTCAGAACTTGGAGAACACTAACCGACCCATCCTTGCAAGTTTCACATTTAGAAAAAGAGGCAGATTCAACGAGTTTTCTGTTCTAAATTCAATCACTTCCACAACATCCGATCGCGCACACGAG